TTAAAAAATGCCAACTTTTTTTGTAAAGTGCATTCTAGCAAGAAAGATTATGGTCAGTTGCTTGAACTAAACTGTATGTTCTTTAAATTATTGCATGCTTTGTTTTGTTTTGTTTTCTCAATTACAATATCTCTCCTAGCTTATTTGAATTTGGAATACTTCCTGGAAAATCTTGTCTCTCTCCATAATTATGTAGGGATCTGCAGGAGAACTACAATAATAATATTGATAGGGACATTTGAGGACATTTGTCCAGATATTGAGAGTTCCAAGTTTCTCATGTACGAATCTCAGGAATCTTCTTACAAAACTAATGAGATGTAGGATTTCAGAATACAACAATTCTGGGGTGGAAATTTATTTCTTATCTTGCCATTTGGCACCTCCCCAAAAATCCCTATTTAATTAATTGAATTCTGCATTTATTTCTCTCTTATCTTTCCAAACAAAGTTCTCTGAGTTATAAGTACAATTCATAAAACTATGAAAAGGCTTCAGCAAATCTTTGCCTGAGCTATAATTAGAAATGAACTTGCAGATGAATCGCTTTCCAGAAATAAGGGAAAAAGGCCTTGCTTGTACTTCATCATATCAATGTTTTAAATAGAAATGCTTTGTTCATTAGCCAGACTATTTCTGGCTATAAAATTAATGCTTTGACAGATTTGAAAATAAATTGCTAAATCTGTAGTGATACATTTTCAGTTCCTGTAGCACAATAATCTTTTTTTTTTTTTTCAAAAGAAATTTACTTGCTATAAAGGAAATAATGATTTTCTTACAAACAAGGAAAACCTCAATCTTGTCTCTTCGTATTGTAATGTTTAGCACAATTAATCTTTAGCACCAATGCAGATTTCAATCAAAAAATAAAAATAGTGTCTTGAAACTGGAAATGTAAAGCATTTTATATATGTTTCATTTCTCTATGGAGCCTGTGCATGTGCTTCTTCTACTTTCATTTTATCAGGCTATATAATTGAATCCTTAGCAGGTTTGGTAAGGACTACTCAGGTGCTGTTGCACAGTCCATCACCCATGGTGTCCCTCGGGGATGAAGTTTTACCAGCATTCTTCATGGAGGATGTGGTCTGTAGGGAAAGTCTACAGTTTATCTCATCCCATCTCATTGCCTTTAGAGCTGGAAGAAGCCACCAGAGGGATTTTACTTAGCCGTGTCTTGTCTGTGATGTGGTTTTCTGCTCTGAGATACCTGCTGAAAAGGAGGCCTTGTACTTCTTAAGTGAACTCAAAATGCCATCCAGGATCAGGCTGTGCCAGGAAGCCAAGATGGAACATAATTAGGCTCTTATATTAATATCCTCAAGGCTCAGAATGACATTGTTTTAACTTGCAGAGGGACATGTGACAGTGGTGGGTCATAATATGCATTTTTTATAAGAGTCCCTTGCAGTTGTAACCAGAGCCTCGGTAAACGCATCTGTGCTAAGTGCCTGTGTGTAGTGAGAGCCTGTGGCAGTTGCTCCTCATAAGGAGGAGGCAGGTCAACGATATACATGAGAGGCAACAGAGCCCACTGACATTTTTATTCCATTGCACAGTTCAAAGGAACAAAAAATATCAGTAGCTTAATGAGCCTAACAAAGTTTGTACAGAAACTCCCAATTATAAGTATCAGGAGAAAGACAGGAAGGCAGAGGAACAGGCTGTCAGGGAGCTGCACCACAGACTGCAGTTAAACCTCAGCACAGCTGAGGCTGGCATCACGATCCAGAATGCAAGTATCCATAGGCTCCCTGACAACTCTCTGGAAGGTTGTTGTCCAGCTGTGACTGATACACACCGTGTGGCCTCCAGCTCAAGCAGCAGTGTGGGGGTGGCCCTGCAGGTGAGCTGGTGGGAATCCACCTCAATGCAGGCCCACACCCTGAGTTCACATTCAGTGTGGACATAACCTCAAGACCTCATGTGTTCAGGCACCCATCTGGGCAGGTAGGGCCAATAAACAGAGAGCATGCTGCAGGGAGCAAACATGAGCAGTCGTTCCAAGGAAGCCGTTCTGCGCCAAAGTAAATTACCGACAGTTGTCATTTAAGTGAGAATAAGCTTCAGTGATTACTTTTTGCATATTTGTTTAGAATGGAACCAGATGTTCCTCAGCCCATGTTATAAACTTCCAGCGTGTGTTTAAGAAAATCAGAAAAGTAGTTTACTGAGTCATATTAGTGAGTTGGTGTATCTGAAGAACCGTATCTGCTTATGGTGACTGAGTTACATTTCTGAATCAAAATATATTTCCCAAGGTGAGACCCAGCAATATTCAAATTGCCATTCCTGCAATGTTAATATAGCTCCAGCATGAGTAAAGCTTTTGTTGCCGTTGTTAAAAAAGGAACATTATCTGCCCTTCAGGAAAATTGCTCTGAATCATTGCTGAAGTTTGGGTGAGTGTATTACTAGAATAATTTTCTGGTTTTAATAATTTTAATTTTACCTTCTTGATGCTTTTGCATTTCTTGTTGTGGCATGCTTTTAGTCTGCAGCCAGAGCCAGGAATCCAGGCTGCAGTGATATATTAAACTTCAGAAGGAAGCAAGTTGCTCTATCTAAATCATCTAAGAAATTCTTTTTGGTTATCCAGTCTGTTTGAAATTGTCAGGACATCTCCCTTTCCGCCCAACTTCTAAGACCTGAAGCATTAGCATCCCCGCCTATGTGTGTGTGGCTTCCTGTTGCAGTAATACTCATAGCAGTGTTATGACCTTTGAATGAACTTTTAAGAATCAATAACAGCAAGATAGAAGAAAGGTCAGCAGCAGATTTCCTCTTGTCTAACTTCAGCCAAAGTTACACTGGGAATATCTGAGATGTATAAATTTGGAACTATCATAATCATGTTTATGCTGCACTTCTGCAGGAAGTATATAAATTTCTTAAGCACTGTCATGGAGCTGCTGTTGCATGGAAATAATACAATGCCAGAGTCAGTTGTGTCATTAATGGTTTTTAAGCTATTGTGTATTTTCACGTGGCAGAACTACCACAAGAGGCCTTAACAGCCAGTGCTAAAGAATAATTTTCCTGACTATATTTTGCCACAGGGAAAGTGGAACTGGATTAGAAACCCTTCTCATTAGTGACTTGCTGCTGCTGAAACACCTTTAAAGTGTGCATTTCTTCTCCTTTTGGATTACAGAAGTACAATTGACGCATTTGCTGCATATTTGAGCTAGCTGTCTGAGCACAAGCAGACATTGTTCAAGATGCAAGGTCTGCCTGTTCAAATACATTATAGTAATTTCTCAGCTTTCTAAAGCTCTTTCCAAAATCAAGATTTTTCCTGTAATGAATTAAACATAGGTGTTGTTTGCTGCCTCCACATACTGAAGAAACCAAGCCTTGTAATTTCACCTAATTTCACTGTCTAAAAGTGAAGTTCTAGTTTAATTAAGCATTTTACTTCTACAGAGCTGGCACCTCTAGAAAGTGCTTATTGCACTCTTTTGCTTACCAAGGAAGCCTGGCCAACTAGTTTAAACTGTAACTATAAATTAAAGTCTGACTTCAGGATGCATCAAGTTAAGTGAGATGAATCCCATAGCTAACAGTGACAGTAATGGGTCTCACAGAGTGAGAGATCTACCTTGTAACTAGAGTAAATTTTTTCAGCCCATGCTGCCCATGTCTTCCCATAGAATCAGTAAAGCAGAGCCTTTTTCCAGAGCCACCTGGTGCTGCTGCAATTCATAGAGCTTATATCTGTAAATTCACTATTGCAGTTATTCTAAAAAGTTCACATCAATATCTCTGTTTTTGTCTTCTATTTTCTTGACTGACTAAATGGAGAGATCATTGTCATAGATAGTGATAGCTATAGAAACCTTTGGTGGCAGTTCAAAAGAGTTGCTTTGAGAAATGCTCTTTTTCTGCATCCATGTTGTTTGAAAATTGTGTCTACTCATTCAGCCAGCCTAACAGAAAAGTCTGAAAATGCATAGAAAATAAAGCAGATTTGCTGGAATCTGACAGCTTCCATTTGATGAAAATTTGTTTGGTCAAATGTAATTTAAAAAACAAGAACTGTAAAATGAAGGAGAACTTTTAATGGCTGTTATTTTACTTAATATCAATTTTCTCAAACAGAACGAAGGAAAAGACATTTTCACACATTCTACATGAACTTTTAGCATCAACTTTGAATTTCCTTATTTCTTCATACTTTATAAGATATCCTTAATATACAACTGTTTTGTCTGAGAATAAATCTTGTGTTTGTTCAAATTCTTAGATGTATAATATTAAAAGATTATTTGCTGTCTTTCTCTATGTATCTCCTTCCCTTATTTGTTCTTCTTTTTTCCTCTTTCAGAAGGATCAATTAACTTTGCCATGCACGTCTTTAGTGCTCTTAAACATAAAGCCATCTTGTAAATTGCCCAAAACTGGATCATGGCTGAAACTGTTCATTGCATGTGCTGAGGGTGGCTAATGTCTGAAAGAACTACCTCAGCCTGTTTCATTGCATTTATGTCAGTGTTTGAAAGTGGCGGCTAATTCTGGGAAAGGAACACGTTCTTACAGTCTGCCCTCTCTCAGAGTTTCGCCTTAGATTTATAGCATCTCCTCCATCAGTCTGCAGTGTGATTTTCTACCTTTCTTGCTTTCCTTAGGAGGCAAAGCTCATGGCTTTGATTCCTTAGCTCTTCTGTAGCCCTCGCAGATCAGGCTCAACTGCTGCTTTCCTCGCAGATGTCAGCCTACTCCAACTTCTTTTTATTTCCTGCTTGCTGAACAAGATAGTGTATAAGGTCATATCTTAACTGTGACTTTATATCCAAGCTGTCCCCAGCTACTAAACATCTGACTGAACCCACAGTCAGTACCAGGACTTGAACCTCTTGCCAGACCCTGGCGTTGTTTTCATGTCATGCTAGACTACATTCTCTAAGCAGTGTGCAGGCAGCTTCTCACAAGTCTTACAAATACAGGAGCCTGTGCTGCTCTTACTAACAGCAGGCAATTTTGCTTGGTGGTTCCAGAAAATGATGAAGAGCAAGAGGCTCTGTTATCACTGGACAAGCCCGGCTGGTATTCCCAAGGTAATGCTACCCATCTTTATGAACTACTGAAGAAGATGACTGGAAAGTTGGACCCCAAGGTATGTTGAAAGTGGAATTAAATCTTTGTAAAGACATTCTGTTTCTGTATAAATATCATCAGATGATCTTGCGTGATCTTGTTGATGATGTGATAAATCATTAATTTTTGTTCTGTATACACTGCTTTGGGGTAGAACAATTCCATTACGTATCAAATTTGACTATTGCATCCATTTTTGTTGCTTGTGTTTAGTGAAATGACCTATCAATGCACAAAGTGATAGACTCACCTTTGTTAGCTTGCTCCATATCTTTTCCAACACACAGTATTTCCTATCTTGCTCTTTGTGAAAAGGTCTGTGCACACTCCCTGCTCTAAAAGGAAGGCAGGGCATGCAGTTACTACTTCTTCGGATGTATGACAAAAGCTGCATCAGAAGTGACAAAATACAGCTAAAGTTGCCTGCTCCTTCACTGTCTTCCAGTAACCAACTATTTATCATTTATTTAGCAGTGATGGGCCTGTTCTAGAATCTAAAATGTTGTACCATTCCTGGTGGATGCAAGTTTCAAAACTGCAGTCCAGAACTGGAAGGAGTGTATATGTCTTTTTGTTGTTAGAATATTTAAACTGTTTAGCTAAGATGTTTTATTCTGGGTGCTTTGTTATGCATTTCTGAAGTTGCATGTAGAATCAGATTATCATCAGAAAATCCATCTCCCTGAGGAAATAAATCAAATAGGTGAAAGGGTGACATCAGTGAAAATTAGGATCACTTTAATGACAACTCAGCATGGATGAAAAGGCTACCTGAAGGTGGTAGTATTTTTTCTGTAATGGGTTGACTACCACCTGGGTAGAGAAGAGTTCTGAATCCTCAAGATATTCTGTGTTTTCCCATTTCCAAAGTTGTTCCAAAATGCATTCCAGTTGGTCTGTGCATTTTCTTTTAAGTCTTTTCCACTGCTTCCTGGCAAACTATTTCTGTCAGTCAGAGATCTCAGTTGCCATCATGTGTGCCAGTCCTACGTGGGCATTCCCAGGCAGTGCCCCGAGAGAATCAGAGCAAGGAGGGGATGTGGAGCAGCCTTTTCCTTACTGAACTGTTTGAAGATAAAAGCCCAAACATTAATAAGATTTGTGTGTGTTGTGGCCAACTGTAAACACAGAGGAATTTTTATTAGGTTGTTTTAAAGCTCTTTTTCTCTCTCTGCGAAATACAGTTTGCTTGTGTTTTCCTCCAATACAAAGAACTTTTAATTCACTGCTTCCCTCATAGGTTGTTTATTTTGGTGACAGCATGCACTCAGATATTTTCCCAGCTCGTCACTATAGCAACTGGGAAACTGTCTTCATCTTGGAGGAGCTTCTAGGGGACAAAGTTATGGTGCCTACAGAGACTGAATCTGAGCCCTTGGAGAAGAAAGGAAAATATGAGGTAAGGGTTCCTTGCCAATATTTCCTAGAAGAGAAGAAAGTAAGCTGCAGAAAAGCCTCCCTCCTGCCACCTGTGCTGAGCATGAGCCTGTTTATCTCACTAGGCTGCTGGCTCCAAGCCTCACAGATGTACACTCTGGTGACATCAGGACCACACCGTTCTGTCCCAGGTTGGCATTGCATGGGCATCACAGAGCCTTCATTACCCTGAGATAACTCAGAAAAAGAGTCCCTTGTTCTTAACACAGTCTTCTCCTTTCTAGTAACGAGAACCTGTTCTGTGTCCTGCAAGAAATTTCACAGAAGCTTATCAGGTTCCAGCACCTGAGTTTCGCTGAGTTCATGACACTTCCCTGCATGCATGGCCATAGTTTTTATGAGGTTGTTTTAAAGTTCTTTTTCTCTCTCTGAAATATGCTTTGCTTGTGTTTTCCTTATATACAGAGAACTTTTCATTTGCTGCTTCCCGCAGAGGCTGTTTGTTTTGATGACTGTTGCACTCAGATAGGAGGAACTGTTTCTAAGAATGGTCAGATGTGAACCACTGATTGTTACCTCAGAAAAACTGTAAAATTTTCACGTTAATCGCAGTTGGGAAGCAGGCCCTTAACATTAGTACCATTCTAATTGCTACTCAGGGTGAAATTTTACTACAGTTTTTCTTTCTCTCCACTGCTGAAGAACTAAGTAGGTAAGGAACAACACTTAGGTGGTATAGTTGTACCTCCAGTGTGCCATGCTGAGGAACTACAGTCCAGTTTCAGCAAGAGAACTCTGCAACCATATAGCAAGAAGAAGGAAATTCATCCTCTTAGTAATTCTCTGCTTTTTTAATATTCCTATCTAATATTTTCCCCCATTGTCTTGATTTCTAAACTGAGGTCAGACTAAGACATTTCACTCAGTGAATTAAAGAAGGAAATGTAGTCATTAATGTTTGGGCTTTTTCCTGAAGCGTAGGGAAAAATGAAAAAAAGGCAAACAAAGTGCAGTCTCCTATCAAGATAAATGTGCTCCTCAGTTAAAAAAAAAAAAAAAAAAAGAGAGAGAGAACAAAGAATAAAGGAAATGTGAGGAGGAGTTACATAGGTTAATAAAATTTGATGTAATTAACTAATGCTGTAAAAATAAGTTATTATCCTCCATAAATCTTGGAGTCCCTCTGATTGGAGGCTCATTGCTCCTTTGAACACACATCTCCCTAAGATTTTTTTCTTTATCTCAGCCATTGGTTCTGAAGCATGCTCAATGTATGCTTCTGAAGCCAGTGTATTTAACCAAGCAGCCAGAACATGTTTCTTTTTCTAGAAGTACAAAAGAAGAGTTACTGAGTGATGTGTTTCTAAGCCCTTGATAATGATTTATTATTTTATCTTGTTGTAATGCATCTCGTCGAAGTATCTTCTCTGTCACTGCAGTTATCAAGTAGGAAAGTGAGACTTTTATACAGGTGTCTGACATTTCACTAAAGCTGTAGCAGTCATGATAGACTCAAGGAGATAACACCTCTGCCACAGAAAACCCCTGTTCAGTTTACATCCGCTACCAGTGACAGCAAGTAAGCAAGGGAGAAATGAATTGTGTTGATTAAAGGAATCAGAACCAAGGGGGCCATGTAGGTCAGTGGTGTTATTTCATTACCATGCTGCTCACTGGAGTCTGAACAACAGGTCACATCCATATCTCTGCAGTTGACTGGACACCACTGACTTAACAGGACTAGTTCAAAGAGATTCCCTTTACAAGCCCATGGAAGTTTTATTTTTATTCCCCTAATCAACTTCTCTCATTAACCCTCTGGTTATGAGTGGAGGAAAGCCAACTCAGAGGACTGCACAAAGTCAGATGTTCTAGGAAAATTAGACACTAGCAAACAAGACTTGGTATTATTCATTTGCCTTCCCATTCATTCATTTCCCAGAAATACAGTTGCAGATTTTGCATGCCATGCTGGGTGTGCAAAGAGGGAGTGAAAATTTAATTCAAGACACAATCCTCCCTTCTATCAATCTTCACTAAATATTATTAAATAAATGAAATACTGCCTCTAAATTGCAATTGCAAATTTTGAAATAACAAAAACTGTTTTCAGTCGCATTACATGATATTTCACCACTAACAGAGAGAGGGAAAGAAACCCTCCTCACACTCTAACTGGAAGTAATTTCTATTTTCATTAACAGTTTTTGTCTTTTCCACTTCAGTTAAATGCCTGATATAAGCCAGATACACAGAACTGCGAAATTATGGAAACAACTGCAGTTCTTTTGAGTGTATGAGTCATAAGCAAATGAGCAAGGGAATAGCAAAACTATTTATGCAATTACTCAGCTATTAAGTGAATGGCAGCATACAAGGAAAGAAAAGATAAAAAGAAGCAAACAAAAAAAAAAGCAAGTATTGTGTTGAAATTAGATTCCCCTCAGATTCAGGGGTTTGTTTGCTTGGCTGGAGGTTTGTTTTTTTCTTCTGTTCTTTAAATATGTGATCAATTTCATCAGTGAAAACTCTAGGAAAAGCTGGATTTCATCCTAGGCTTTCAAGGGAAATCATTATGGAGGAGCTAGTCAGCATATAAAAAACAAGGTTGCAGGAGTGAATGGAGTAACAAGGGAAGAAGCCATTGGCAGATATAGACAATATTTCTGATATTTCTGCAGTTAGAAGGAAAACTAGAAGGTTTTCACAGTATTGCCTAGTGGCTATTCAGGAGGTCAAGCCCTTGAGGCTTGTCTTTCCAGGACTCTGAGTGACCTCAGCCAATGGCTGATTGCTCCAGGCCTCTTGGCTCTGTTTCTCTCCGTATTCCTACTTATCTTCAACACAAATCTAATGGTACTTCCAGGAACAACCTGATGGGCTGCTGTGAAGCCCAGCCAGTTAGAGGGATATCCTCAAAGCAATATCCTTAACATGGCGTGGCTGTTTTGTTCAGGTACATCAGTTCATTGTGTCCCTTACCAGCACTGTTCTGCTGGTGGAAGTACCTCAAAAACCTGCTGTTACACAGGCAGAACTGTATTCTGAGCATTGTTTTTATAAGCTCTAAGAGTCAGTGGTGGTTTTATTGCTTTGGCATGAGGCATATGGCCATCAGTGTCACAGGATACGATATGCAGTGAAGCAATTGTAGTAACCCCTGCTCAGTACAAAGACAATGGCTTAGATGGCAAACCCTCATTTCAATAATGCCTTTAAAAAATGTACAATGCTTTACAGTTTTACTTTTCACTCGTCTCCCTTCCGTCCTTTTTTCTTTCTCCTGTTTACCAAACAGGGTAGAACTTCAGAGCTCAGCTCCCTGTTCATTTCAGTTTTCTACAGGCAATTTGTAAGCCAGCAAATCATTGTTTCCCAAGGGTCCCATTAACTAAACCTGTCTGGTCTGTTAGCCAGCCCTATTTATCTGCAGTTAATAAAGTAAGGGAGATAATAAGCATCCCAGGTGCTTTGATTTAGTGGAAAGCTTTGAGTGTTGGAGCACAGTTGTACCAACATTTCTCTCTACTGTCTAGATGTAGTCTGTAAGGCTTTGTGCCCTGATCTGTTACAGTCAACATGCAACATCCTCCTGCTGTCTGCTTGGCATGCCTGAGAGCAAAACCACCCCTCAGGGTGGGGAGGGGGAGGTGTTACATACCAAAGAAGAGGGTGCGCAGCACTTGGCAGGATTTGTAGCCATGCAAGGAGATGTTACTACAGGGGTGGCTGGAGGAACTCACAGCACTCATGTGTTAAAACACATCTCCAGGTATGTAGGAAAATGTGTAGGCTTTGTGGCGTAGTGTCCTACCTTCACTGTGGGCTATGTATGCTTCAGGTGAGATACAGACATCTTGTAGGCAGTGGTTAGGAATGATACACGGAGTGGCAGCAGATGCCTCTTAAATACGTGGGCAACATTTTACAGCTTTTGTTTCACATTTGGGATGAGGATAATGCCTTCTACAAACTGCACTTGTGATGTGGAGGGAAGCCAGCAGCAAAACATCAGGAGTCCACTTCCAGATGACTTGATGACAATATTTATGTCTGAGTTTGGTTTTATTAAGGGCTTGGGCTATAAATCTTGAATTTATCTTCTTCCTCCTTAACAATTAAGAATTTCCCACCAGATCAGATCTCTGAATCAGATCTCTGAAAAAGAACAAAGCAATTCCTCTTACTACAAAGACACATCTTAAAAAGCATGAGCTTCAGATTTGTTTCACTTGTCAATAAACAAGGCCTTGTCTTCGTTTAAATGTTAATGTGGTCCAGTACTTTTGATGGAGCTTTTTGATTAATCACCTGAATAGCTAGAAAGGCCTTAAGAGTTTTCTGCATTCAGCTGGCAAATGGAGTTTAATTCATTACCTACACTTAATTAAAAATGATGTAAAGTCCCAGGATGTGCATGGGAAGACAAAAAATACTAAGATGTTGCTCCTGTGTGAGAGGGAGGGGAAAATGCAGCTCCTGAACAGCAGCTGAACTGCTATTTTTGATACTAAATATAGGTTTTTTTCCAACCTGTTTACATCAGAAGACAGAAATCAATGTCTGTATTTATCCGAATTAGCTCCTGCCCCGTCCCCCAGCTGCACTCAGAGAAAGAACTGTTACTCAGAACCACTGAAACAATTGCTCTGTGTTTACTGATGGGGTTTGTTTGGCTGGTTCAACAGCTTTGTTGTGGTCGAAAGCCATGGATCTCTGTCATAAACATAAATTATTTTGGCACTTTCTCAAAACTATTAAGAAAGGAGTTAAATGGAAAATAGAGTACAAAAGTTTACTAATCTGGAGGCACCCGCTAGGATGTCTGTTCTGTGCTCTGTTAGTCTGAAAATGTTCTTTGCACACAAATGGCTTTAACAGATTTTCTGCAATGTAGTTTGCAATTTTGGTTTACATTTTCTAATCTTTCTGCAAAGGCCTCATGGAGCTTTTTCTGGCTGCTCGTGGCAATATATAGCAGGTTTCAAGATGAACTGCAGAAAATAAAGATCAGTTTTCCCAATACTGCTTTAATGAGTTTGTATATTGTTGACTGAAAAACAAACATGGAAAAAAATTTTTTTTTTCATATTTGTTAGGCAACTAAGTGGCTCTCTAAGGTTTCCATGTTTCTGTTCTCCTTCATCATCTGAGAAGCAGATAAAGTAGCACGGGTGAAACGCTACATCCTTTGCAGCTCAGCATCTGGTGGAGTTACTTCTGTCTGGTAGGAAGAACTCCCGGCTGCGTCGTGCTGCTCAGATGCTGTGGCAGAGAAAGTCAGCAAGCTGGTCCTACTATCTGGAATAGAATAACAGACATGTTTATATGGGGAAAAGGTTAAAGGCAACTTCTTCACCCAAGGGAAATTATTATTAAATAAAATAAAAATAAAATTATTATTCTTTTTTGCAGTATTTTTAAGTCACATTGTTCCTGAGATGAAATAGAGTTTTCCCAGAAAATGAGAAAAACACTACAGACTTCTTAAACTAATACTTGTGGTTGCATAAAGCATAAAGATATTTTTTGAAAGCTTACATGTTTTCTCATTTTTATTTCAGGGATATCAGCCCAAAATTCCCTACTCTGTATCTGAGCAGTGGGGTTCTTTCTTCGTGGACAGACTACCAGGTCTGGAAAATGCAGAGGAAACTTTAGTTCGTACATGGTCCTGTAAATGCATTAGTACTTACAGCACTATTGCAATCCCTAGTCTTGAAGCAATTGCAGGTAAGAAAGGGTTGGGTTTTTTCCTTCATGAACTTGCAGTACTCATAGTAATTTTGTCATACCACAGATTTATTTTTGAGATTCCATGTATCCAAAATATATCTCAAAATATTCTGTTCCTATCACACAGCACCTAATGTTTATGTTTTTTGTAGTGTTTGCTGTGCTAGTTTCTTGTTTGTGTCTGCAAAGATTAGGTGCTTCATTTGCCCCATGTTAGAAACAGGATGCAACATTTCAGGAGTTCAGGTCTTCCCCACACTATCTTGCTCTTTCTGCTTTTGGTGGTGAGTTATGTTAGGAAACAAATGCATGCAAGATTACTGGAGCTTTCTTAAGATTTCAAAATGTGTTCCCCTTTGATCTAGTTCATTATCTTATCAGTCCGCTTATGCCATTACAGTTGAAATGAAGATGAACAAACACAAGAATGTATTGAAGCCAAGAACGCTTAGAACTGTGCTTTTCTCTCTTTCTCTCTCTCATTCCTTTTGAAACTGCACCATCATGGACACAAATTGAGCCTAAAATTTACTCCTTATCTGGGAAAAAGAAGCCTAACAAGCAGTGTCTTGTTCTCCAAAAGTTCATCCAACTGAGAAATTACTCAGACTTTCTACGTTTTTTTCCATCAGAGCTGTGCCAGAGGTACAATCATGACAGATCTTATTTTCATTTAACTAGTCTTTATCTCTGGAGGGACCATACTTTGGTTTGTGTGGTTGGTAGCAATAGCTGTAGCACTGATACTGCAAAAGCTTTGCAGCTGCTGTACATATCAGTTGATTATGCAGTGGTGGTGAAGATCCTCTATCTAGGTAGTCTCGATTTGTCATTTCTCCTTACTGAACTTTGATACACGATATCTAAGGGAATAAACAAAATATTAAATGAATTATGTATTTGGCTCTACAAAGACCACAGCGATTAGTTACTAACCCCTCTGCTCAGCATCTGTGGCTTACTTCATGCAGAAGACCAATGAATAAAGTTCTTCTGAGGGATATTTCAGATATGCCAACTATTTCTTTGACAGAACACATTATAGACCTTCTCTTTGCAACCAAATTCTACAAACAAATGTATATGATAAGGATATCTCAGAGTAGAAAATTGATACAGCAGCAGAATCTATTTACGCTTCCTATATTTACTGTGTTGCAGTCCGTAGTTCAGCCTAGAAGTATAGGGCCCGTGTATAACAAGGAAAGTTGCCAAGACAGAGGTAACTTCTGTAAAATTCCCTTCTAATACTTCTTCCAGCATCATTCTGTGGTTTGCTTTGAAAGTGTTGGCCTAGAGGCTGGCAGGGTCAGCCATGTTCTGTGAACATCTTCCATCCCACCAGTTCCCCAAACCACAGCTTGATCTGCACAGCTAGCAAATGCTGTAGACCGCAAACTTATCAGGAATTTTCCAGCTACAGATGAAGGGGTGAGAACATTCAACTTATGTATGCATAAATTATTGCTTGAAGTGCAGGAGCAGTATAGCTGTCTGTTCTTTCTCAGTTTATCAGCTGTGGAGCCCTTGCAAACCCTGTGCCTCCATCAGGAAGGATGGTGTGTGCATCCCTGCACAGCTAAAGGACAGCAAGTGGAGAACTAACATTTTTTAACTTGCAGCTGTGTGCCTGAACAATAGCCTCAAAGCTGAATATACAACAATCTATGGTTTCTTAATGAGAGAAGTCGGTCTTGTTTGTTTGTGCTAAACACAGATGTTCATTATTATGGAGGTTAAGGCATTCCTGACTCCTCTAGAATACCTTGTTTAACTTGTGAGCCCCCACTTTACCAAGCCCTGAAGTTTTTGGCTGCAGTTTGAAGCCATAGATTAAATAGCTTAATAGCTGCAGCTATTTTGGTATAACTCACTAGAAGAGATTCAAACAGATTATGTGAGTTTGATGCGCTCCAGTTTTTCCTTTCCTATTCATGCATTTTAATCACCAGCAGAGGACTTCCCTCAGCCAAGCTGCACAAACACAGACTCTTCCTCAAGCTCCTCAGAGTTGCACTTTGCTGATCATATGGCAAGCGCTCTGTGAGCAGCTGCCATGGTCCTGGAGTTGATAGGTAACCTTGTTTGAGCTCTGAGCTCAATCACTAACCACTGTTAGCCATGACCAGCTTCAGCTTAGGATGTCTGTGTGAGCAATAAGCAGTACCACATACGAATAAATGCCCTAACTGTGATCTGCAAAAATCTTTGTTGAGATCCAAACAACTGCTGCTAGGCTAATTTTAAATACACTTGACACTTCTTGTTTGGCTGCAAAATGTACATAATGAACAGCCTGATTTAATTCTCCAGACTCATTTGTCATTGAAAAATATTATTAAAAAAAAAATTATTCAACATGATTCAACAGAAGTAAATACTAGTGGTGTTTCACAAAAAGCACTGATGTTTAGGCAAAATTCATATGAGAATTGTTATGAAAGAGTTATCAGAAGTTTGGGGGGAAGTTAATAAAAGTCTTTGAGCTCGTTTCAGTTTTTGTTTCTTTTTTTAATGCATGAAATGTGTTCAAAAAAAAAAAAAGAAGAATGAAGGTCTTAGCTCTGGATTGAAAAGTTGGAATAGAGACAACTTTGACAGTTCTCTTTTTTCACCAACCTCTTGTGGGTTTGGTGCAGATGCCTTCTAATGGTTTCACGTAAAGAATTTAAACATATACCTAAATTTAGGGAACAACTTGATACTCACCAAAGAGCACTGTAGTAAAGGGCTTCACAGGGAATGCTGCTGTTGCAGATTTTCTCCATTCAAAGTATAAAATAACAGAGCATATACACAAACTGTATCTCTAATTAGCAAAATCACAGTTTGTTTAAAAAACAGTCCAATTCATTTTTCACTACCTTTCTGTGCTGAATGAATGTAGTTGTTCTACACTTTTGTCCCCATCTTTAGTTGAAAGTTCAGTATCTGACCCAAAAAGGTTTTGCATTCAAAGATGCATCAGAAATTTTGAATTCTAATCACATCTGTAGCAAACAAAGTATTAGTGAGATTGTAGATTACTATGCCACAGCTTGTCATCTCAATTCCCCTGGCAGTCTCTTAAGAGGAATTGACATTTTCCTTGGGCATTAAAAAGAACATTTTCTTTATCATTAAAATCACCCAAAGGACAGAAAGGGTCTTCTGTAATAAATTCTACATACTTTCCTCTGGAGAGGAAATCACATAGGGGTAAAATAAAACTCTTCATTTAAGATATTATTACTTTGACATTAAGATGATATTTTTAAAAGTTTAACTGCAAAGTAGTAAGTCTGTATCTTTGTAATATTAAGAGGAAATGAGTTAAGCTGAAAGTTTTCTAAACAGTTCAAAGTTCATTTACGGGATAGTTTTTCTTTCCTGTTTCAGTAAGCAGGAAGACTTTTCTCAAGAATTTGAACACTGAAGATTCACAATTATACTGACATGTACATGGTTAATAAAATATTAGAAGCCAACACTCCTACTCCTGTTCTCAATGCCTCATTCACAAATCCATCTGTTTCTTCACTTTTCTGCTATTAAATCTCTCCTCATTTACAGCTCCCTCACAGTTCTTGACCATTTTCAAGCACAATGATACTGTAAGCCAGATTTTACAAAGCAGGATCCATTACCGTGGGAATGTTACATTCTGGTTCACACATAGAAATTAAAAGGTGTAGGGACCAGTCTGAAAAAAAATGGCATTTTGCATAAACCACAGTCTCGACTATATGGTTTTCAATTTCAGAAAGTCTGATTTGTGACAAGCAGAGGCAGATGTGCTTATCTATCATACCTGCATAACCTGAATGGTACCGGCAAGTACTTGACTGCTACTCTGTGGCGTTCCCATCGAATTACCAGATGTTTGTGTGAGTAATGATAGGCCCTGCATCATGCAGATATTCCAACAGTAACTGGCAGATCTCCCTAATTTACAAAGATATCAAATACAGATCATATTTTAGCTACTGAGCAAGCTTTTGCAGAAGTCAGTGAAATCGCCGACCAGTGATTGCCAGTTCTATGATCCAAAAAAAATTCTGCACATATTTCAGGCTTTTACTTTGAATCTTATCATAGTTACTATTTTTTTTATGAAAGTAACACTTCAAAAAATTCCATAAGTAACTCTTTCATTTCAAAGCTTATGGGAGAATTCTTGGAGAATTCTGGTAAGTTTCTTCGCTCTTTGTTGCATTAACAAAAACAAAACAAAACAAAAAACAACAACAACAAAAAAGCTTGAGAAAGTGGGCCTTAAATCCTAATACAGATAACCCAAATAAAACTTTACAAAACGTCGTGGTTGTTAATCTGGGCTCCTGAACTTGTCTCATAACCTCTGAATGGTGAGGTTTGCCATTTAAAAAGATGCTGCAGGCAAAATGAGCAATGTGTCAGCTCCAAGCACTTGCACACAAAGGATTAGTGCAAAAGTATTTTATGGGTACAGTTTATTTCACATTTTGGAGATGTGGTAACCAAACTTATGTTGCACATGAGGATCATGTGTTTCTTTAAAGCTTGTGAGCCATATGAAATCTTGCCATGCTTTGCCCATAAGAGTACATAAGTTTTTCTTCATGCCTTATTGCTATTTCAATTGACTAATAGAAGAGAAAAATCCGTTATAATTTGCCAAAACTGTCTCTTTAAAGAAGCCGGAGTCCCATATCCTGTCTCTTTCTGCAGGAGTTTGAGTCGTCGGTCTGCTTGCTGTATAAATATAATGCTGAAATTGCCAGTGAACCGTAGCAAAGGAGTTCATGTTTCTGCTTAGAGTTGCAAATTGTCTGCACAATGGAAAGCAGAAGGCAGCTGTGGCTGGGACACTGGAGCTAGCAAAGTGTGTGTCACAGATACACGGGTCTGCCCACCATACACTGGTTGCAAATTGCATTCAACATGTGTTTTAAACGTGAATGTCCATGAGGAATTTATTATTACTGTGGAAGTCATGAATTTAACTAAGCATGTGGCGATATATAATTTCTATATCCTGAGCATTATCATGTGTAATTATTACTAGAGTGAAACAACAGAAAAAAAATGAACCACCATATTTTAATACATTTGTTCTATGATTTTTCATTGAAATTATGTTGTATATAGTCAAATCTAGCTCCTATTAAAATTAAATTGGACTTTCCTGTAACCAGAGAGATAATAACAAATGCTTCCTTATTCAAATAATGCAATAATGATATAACATAACTTACACATATAGAAGTATATATATTATAAATTACTTATTAATAGTAGTAAACATTAAAATGTAAACCTTTACAACCATGCTTTTACTTAACACTTCCAATGTAAGAATGTATCTTCACAGATACATTCTAGAGATTTCAGTTTAACAAAATGCTTGGGCAATTCTGACTTCCTTGTGGGCTTAGCTGCTGTAAAAAGCATTTGTTATTAAAAGACCCTAGAGATCATTTTTATAACAAACCTTTTTTGAAAGAAATGCATATTTTTTTTTATTATATATATATATACATATATATATGACAACATGGTTTCTGAACCTCTTTCTGGTTCTTCTATTATGGTACAAAGAAATTGGTAGCAAAGTTAGTTTACTGGAGATGTGCTCAGGTTGTCTTAGCAGCATCTTCCTCCGACTCTGTGTAAATTGAAAAATGTTAGATAATTTAAATCTGATTTAACTGTTCCAGGAAACTAGTTTCAGTGCTTGGAATTTGAGAGACAGAGCAATGCGCTCAATGCAACAGACAAATAGAATGTATTTATTTTTTCAGCTGCAAAATACAACTGAAACTGACAAGAAACTGCATCTTAACCATAAAAAAATATTATTAACCACAAATACTTGTAAATAGTCTTCAGGACCCAGTATTGGCCAAAGGGTATGAGAAAAACTTTTCCAAAAGATTTAATCAAATATCTTGTTAGTAATTTTGGACATAAAACGGATGATTCACAATGTTTTGGTCTGCCTTTCACTGCTCCTCCAGAAAGGTGTGTTGACTTGTGCCCCTGAAGGCTGCGTCAAGTCATGCAGAACCCAAAAAATTACTTCCTAGCCAATAGCTGACAGAAATGTTCCTGCAATCCCTGTTCTACTCCGTGAAATGTCAAAGCACAGCCACCTCTAAAAGATTAAAGGGAGAACTCATGAGCAACTCATTAAGAAAGGTGGAACCACTCAGTCATTTCTACTTTAAAGTTATCCTTCAACTCAAGCAGCATAATTTCATTTGCAGGCTGCAATTAAAGCTGTAATTGGGTTTTGACTAGATCGCATGCTTGTGGGGTGGGTTTAGGTTTCTTATTTGAAAACACTGATGGTAATATAACATGTTGATAATTTCTGATTGTGGAAAGAAGTGCAAGTAGATAAGCCACCAACTATTGGAAATACTTCTTTAACTAGATCAAATTTTACATAACTTGCAATCTTATATATTAAAACAAAAAAAGTTGCTGGTACCTTCATGTAGTCTGGTGTCTAACATATTCCCTTTGGATTAAGATGGTAATGCTTGAAAAAACAAAAAAGGCAGGCTTTGTCCTCACACTCATGATGAGTCACTCAAACATATTAATTGAGTGATCCCTGAAAGACTAATATATGCCATTAGGATCTTGTCTTAGAAATTTTTTTTTTTCTTTTACATTGTCTTTATGTAAATATTTGAGAGTATTATAGCATAACAGTTTGATCACTTGCAGAACAGCAACTGGGAATGGCTAGGTGCCAGGATAGCTGTTCTGCCAGGGGCATATTACAAATATTCCTTCCTTGGAGACACTCAAGGTCAGGCTGAATGTGCCTTTGAGCAAGCTGATCTAGCTGTAGGTGTCCCTGTTCGTTGCAGGTGAGTTGGAGTAGATGACCTTTAAAGATCCCTTCCAACTCAAAAAATTCTATGATTCTGTGTGGCGGAGCAGCAGGCATTTTCTCCAAACAGTGCAGCCACAATGGGAAAAGCTGTTAAAGGATTGCTATTAAAGCAGAAATTCTGCAGTTTCACCGAAAGCAATATTAGTCTTTATCTATGGATGCATAAACTGCGCTGGCTGAAACAGCACATTGTGAGTGCCAGTTACATCCAAGCTGAGAAGCTTTATCACCTTCCTTCTCTAGACCCCCTGCTGCTGCTGATCCTCTCAATTCAAACAAACACCCACACAGATGTGTATCCTACTCCTCTTTCTGTTCAGCTGCAGAGCCTGCAAACAGCAGCAGTAACTTTCATGTAACTGGTAGAAGGAATGCTCATTTAAGTATTTCAAGAGCTTTGAGCTAATACAGAAAACAGTTGATCTCGTGTTTAGGAAAATCTGCCTGAGATGTCTTGCTAAAAATAACTGCTATCAGATAAATCTAATTGCATCGCTGGGGTTTTTTGTTTTTGCTACTAGTGCATTCCTTTACATTCCAAGCTCTTGCTGCAAGAGCTGTTGTGATTTTTATAAAAAAGAACTAGGTCAGAAGATAAAAATATTTCATATTTCCAAAAACACTCAGTACTGTTTACCTGTAGGTTGGCAGGCCACAGTGTAGTTCTCTTGGCAGTGCAGCCAAAAGTGTGCTTACTCTTCTGTTAAGAAATTATTTTAGAAATTGTTAATATTAATTAATATTTTCCTTTTTCTTTAACAACAACTTTTCAATAGAAGCAAAGTTCTATGGCAAAGCTCCTAAGCTAGAGTAAATTACTGGAATTCCTGTAAAAACAACATAATTAATATTGGGTGATGATTGTCCATATAACTATGCTACCTGCATGCTGAGCCACGTGATAGATTGTTGTGTTTTGATATTTGCTACAGTTAAGCAGTTTGAAGGTTTTCAAAATTGAATCATATTGCTGAAGAGCTTTTTGCTTCTCCCCCACACCCTCATGTCCCTTGATAGCAATCAGAAGCGCACACATGGGTTCAGTCAGTCCTGCCCTTCGCTTTACTACAAGGTTTCTGCAGCCCTGTTGCCTCCAGGAGTGGGAAATCCTTCGTCTGTGGGCTTCTCATGCATCACCAGCATGCTGCTGTGCTGTCACTGCAAAAGAATGTTCTCCTTTTTGTGGTCACTATTGCTAAATTCTTTGTGATTTTTCTTCTGTGCTTTTTGAGAGGAATCTGCGTTAGGCTTGGACTGTGCTTTTAATTGGAGAAATATCTTCCACCTAAAGACCTTAGTTAAGATTATAATTGTTTCATGTATTGATTTGTTCAAGGAAATCTCAGAGAAAGATTAAATATGAGAATTGTTTATCAAGCAAGGCTATTGTCAGGATTAGATTATAACTGACTTCCATTCAGTTACTCAAATATTTTCCTGATTACTCATCTAAAATACTACGTTTTCCCTTCTTCTTATGGTTTTCCCTTCCTACCCTGTGGCTACAACTCTTGTGTTTTTTTTTTTCCCAGTAAGAGCTTTTGGCTTTCATTTATTGGCTTATAATAACGGAGTAGTAACTGAGATGTAGTCAAGTAATAAGTACAAAATAAATCCATCTTTATCACCTACATGTATGAATATGGATATGCCAAAGCATCAGAGCACAGCATTATAATTTATATCATTTAACAGCTGGATCTTAGCAGCTGGAACACAGCACCTTAGTGACTGGAATAAACCTGGCAGTGGTTACTGTTCAGACATCACATTCACCATTTTATTTAAACTAGAGCTGCTCAAGCACTGCAACTGAGGTTGGGCTGGGCAGGGTACCTTGGGGACCTTCTGTGATCAGTAGCTCGCAGCCCTGAGCACCAGCTGAGCCATTGAGAAGCACCAGGATACTCTGCCTGCGCAGCTACTGTGAAGGGAGCTGGCTTTTATCACTCACCAACACTGAGGCTCTGCTTTGGAAGCAAGAATATTCCCAAGGCTACATGTGGCAATTAGAATTTCTGTAGATCTAGAAAGAGATATAGAAGCACTCCATGTTTGACTTTTAGGAGGCTAGGCACTGAAAGTGAATGCTGGGAACAAGATGAGTCTTGGTGGAATTACCCGTATACCATAGAAAATTCCCAGGATTTAGGTCCCTACAGATTCTCATTGGGTAAAGCCAGCTAGATCTTTCTTCCAACCCAAATCTATTTAGTTTGTATGGGGTTCTTTTGTGGTTGTTTTTTTGTTGTTGTTGTTTTATTTCCTAGGTGAGTGGCAATACGAGATGAGGTTTGTGTTGAATCCATTGTCACTGTAGGCTGATCAGCACTGATCAGACCCCCACTGTAGGTAAGAAAGACCTGTGTATGTGCCCCCCTCTAATCTACAGTTCTCCATCAGGGCTGGGTGAGAAGAGAATGCCCAGATGTAAAGCTCTGCCAAGACAGCAGCAGCTGTGAACGTGTGTGGTAGAAGACCCTAAAGATATTTATTGGTAAAAATACTAGGAAACAATCATTTTGGAAATGAGCACTCATTTCTTTCCTAACTGAAGCTTGCTTTATTATCAAATTATGAATCTCTTATTATTTTATAATTTTTTTTTTAAAGCAAGCAGTGTTCATTTCTCTTCTATGCCACCAGTGACAGTAGAAAATAAGACCAAGTGCAAAATCAATTGCTGCTGTGTCCAGGAGGCAAACTTAAGACCTCTACCACAGTTCTTTGCTGATGAGCCAGCACTGCTGATACCATTGCCATCTGCATCCAGAGAAGTTGGACTGAGTTTTGGTGTCCAGTTAACATGAATTCTTTGCCATCCAAGGCAACTGCAATTTGTGTGATGTTTCAGAGTTTTCAGAAGAGCTAAGTTTAAAAGAACTTACAGCACACTTCCTCTCTGATGTTTTCTGGATTTCCATTTTTTCATAATTGTGTATCCCCCCTCAATAACAATCTTCATTTTTCTTTCTTTGAATAATTACCCTTCGTCTTCACTCTGATTTATTTGTAGCTGCTAGGATTCCAATTACGTATTTCTGGATCAGTGCAGGGCTTTCACATAAATATATCACACTGAAATAAAGTAGTGTGAAGTGTTCCCAACTCCAAGCAGGGCAGATGCAGCAAATGAAATCACTGATGAAAACAAACCTGAAAATACAGGAAGATTTTTTTCTATATTTGTGACATAAAATCAGCATTGTAGGTGATGAATAGTAGCTGCTTCATGTAACTTTCAGTGATGCCTTACACAACATTTTTACATATGGATACCTTCTGTTCATCCAGTCAACTTGCTCAGACAAAAGCAATATTTAAAGGGGCAGATTGGATTTTGAATATGTAAAAATTGATTATTCTCTGTTGGAGTCCTGTGCTTTGTATTCAAAATTGGTTTGGCTTCTAAGATGATTGTTTAAAGCTAGTTTACCATGAAATATCAACAGAATTGCCATTTTGATATAACTGTTCATTTCTTCAAGGTAAGGAAATCCACAGCAAGTCTGCATCACTTATGCTGCTGCTTTTTGGTTAAACTGCTCCTGGGAGACTCCAGTCTACTAGAATAAAAAGCTAATGAAAGATTTAGATAAAAAAAGGCATGTAAATTTTATAGTTTACAATGATATTCGGAATCTTTGCTTCTTTGCTCAGTAGAGTAGAAAACATCTGCCTGCTCTGTTGTGCTCAGAAAGTGCCCTAGAGAATCCCTTGGCTAAGACAGAATGAGAAAATGTGCTTCTTTGACAAGTTGAAGTAATCCACTTAATAGAGCATAATTCACTTGCAATCAAGTATCCTCCCATTACTTCTTTATTCCAGTCTTTATCTGATTTCTCAACTGGATCTAGATTCTGATTTGTTTGCTTCAGCTGTGTTTTATGTGGTCTTAAAGCTGCAGGCTTGGATGCTGCTCTGCTGTCCTGCATAAGAGTTGCTGCTGAGATAGAGCTGAACTTCCAGTTGTTTGATCTGAAACGGCTAAGACTGTGTTTTTCTGTTTCACTAAAGGAGCTGAATGCAAAAAATTTTATAGCCTGTAGTATCTAGATATCAGCCCAAATGTATTTCAAATCCTTCCCTCCCCCCGTGCCCTAAAAAAAAGGTTCAGATGAGTTTAGTTTTTGTTTTGCTTTGATTCTAAACAGAAAACTAGGTAGGATCTGAGCTCCCCCCCTCTCTGCTCCTCCCCGCCCCCGCCTCCCCACTTAATAGGAGAGTGATTGTTGAATAAAATTTTATATGTATGGAGTTTATTTTATTTGATTTCTTGAACTTTGAATAAGAAGTAAGTATGAGAAGTATCAGTTTCCTGTAGAAGGAGGCACTGCTGCTTGTGAAGTCTTTTTAAAAGAATGAAAGGAAAGAAAGCTTTGACTGTTCAGACCTATTTAAATGTATTCAGTGTCCTTAACAGAGTGGATGCAATGGGTGTGCCAAGTTACGAGTGCAAATTTCCAAGAAGGCTTCATACAAAATGATGGTGTTAACACTGAACTTCAAGAAAGTCCCAAAGTGGGTTCATTTTGGGAATCTTGCTACAACAATCCCAAAAATATAAAAAGGACTTCTTTGTTTTAAATGGGGCTCTCATCAGTTGATTGCTGAGATAAAAGAGTGTCAGCTCAAAGAACCTGAATCTGTTCTAGTAGGAAAATTCCACCTAGGCTTGAAAAAGATTTTTGTTTGATTATTTAGTATTCATTTAGTCATTCTCTATGACTAGTATTATTTCAGCAATCAAGGAACTGAATATCCTTTACTGCAGTTGAATAAACTCTGAAAGTCAATTCCTTGGACAGCTGAAGATGTCAAATAAATATGTAATCATGCAATCCGATTGAGTTTCTAATGCCAGTAAGCAAACAGCTCAAGGGCTTAAGAAGTACTGCTATTCACCACAGGCTTATTTTTTATGTGATATGGACTGTGCTGCTAATCAGATGTGGTATATTTCTGTCTTTCAGATTTACCGCTGGATTATAGATTTACACGATTTTCCTCAAATAGCTCAGCAACTGCTGGGTACTACCCAAGCCCTCCAAGAGCACTGCTGCCAAGTGAGGAATCAGTGACTATGAAATAGGTTTTTGGCTTTTCCTTCAATAACCCTGTGATCCTTTCTTAACTGCTGTTAAATGCTAATTGGTGAAAATGCTGTTTGATGCTTCATAAAATAGAATGATGAATTAAAGCAGACTCCTGTGTAGATTTATTTCCCTTGTTTCTCTAGTCCAGCTGGAACAGGTGAGCATTGCATAGTTTGTAAATCTCCTTATCAGGACTACATTTCACACAGTAACTGGCTTTTTCCGTGCACTGCCCAGATACTTTAAGAGAAATGTACTGTTAACAATTCATCTCAACTTACATACTAAATTTTCGAGGACATTTTCAGTACTATCTCTGCGTATGGTGGTGCCGTTGCTGCTGCAAAACGCAGGAAAGACATGAAAGACTCAGCCTACTCCATTAAGAATTACCTTGGCAGCTCAGGTTACGACAGTAGATCAGTGTTCTGCAAGCCATGAGGAAGTTATTCTTTTGCTGTCTAAACAAAGCAGAGAAGCACTGCAATTGTTCTTGGAGAAATGGAAATACTGAGGCACAAAGAGAAAGATACTTCATAGCCAAAAAGAGATGTGAAAAAAATTTAGGCAGCAAAACACAGAATTATAGTCCTGGGAGCCTTGGCTACATGCTTTTTATTCCTGCAAGTGTCCAACCAATGGTGAAATTCTCTGAATGGATTTGACTTCTGGTATTCCTGACACGTCTGTATTACAGTTTCATTGATTACAATATTTTGTCTCAGAAGCAGAGGCAAACGCCATTCCACCTCATTTCAGAAATAACAGTCTTTGTTTCATGCTTTTTCCTACCTTTATTTTATTTATGTAGGGAAAGAATTCTAAAATTCATATTTACAAGTGATTTGCAACCTTTCCAGTTAAATATTAAGCATTATATTTTGGAAGAGAAAAATAAAACAAATGAGAAGAGGAATTGAGAAGAATTAAAATAAGGTGGACAAGGAAGGAAAATGGAAGCACTATTTGCTTCCTTATAAAGCATAGGCTGAAAATATTTGACTTAAGGCAGCAAAAAGTAAAAACTTGTGTTTATTTTGAAATATATAAATTGAAATATCTAATTTAGGATCAACATCTTGGGCTGCAAATCTGGCTCAAGATAAGGGTATGGTTTGTACTAAGTAGCAAAGTATACAAATTGAAGTCTCAGATCCCTGATTACTGCATCATTTGAAATTCTGACCTGAATCAGGTAATCCTTTAAAAATAATTTCTAACTACATTCCAATCCAAACCAATACTATGTACTTTCATGCCTTTATTTTTCTGAGTCCGTTTTTTTCAACTTTGAGGGGGTTTTCTTAGTTTTGTTCCGTGTTGTTCTTAAAGAAAATTAAAATATAATGCCTAATGAAAATGAAGTCTTCTAAGACCCTGGTTCCTGGTATCAGCATGTTTTTTTTTAATGGAAAGGTGACAAATTCTAAGAACGGCCTGAACACAAATGCTACTGGAAGTGTGACTCCCCATGTCTGTGGCTGCATGAAGATATTGGAAAAATAGTTGAAGCATTTGCAAAATAATTAAAAACAGAGTTCCCGTGAAATCAGTACATAAAGACTCTCATAATGACTATTCTTATTAAAGAACCTCTGAAGATATTACAAGTCTTACTACAAAGCCCTCCAAAATGAAATGGAACATTTAGTTAAGGTTGAATGGTTTCATAATCTCAGACAATTGTTCTTACCTTCCCAAAAAGATCTGTTGTCCTAGTGTATTTTGATTTGACCACCAGCCTGAGGAGTCACCATGTGGTCAGCATTGCTGAGAGAGGCTGCTGGAGTGAAGGCTGGCAATGGAGGACCTTTGGGAGGTGGACAGGATGGCCCTTGGAAATGGAGATGTCATGGGGATGAGGGAGAAGAAATGCGGATGGAAGAAAATTTATGGGGCTAGCCCCTATTGAACAAGGCACTGTAAAGACATGATCTTTGTTGTGTTTTTTTTCTCCCTGATTATTTGAACTTTCGGAAATCTCAGATATTTCTTGGATTTCTTGAATCACTGACAGAAAGATCACTGAAATGCCTGCAAAATTAATGTTTATAAAGATCTTCAGTGTGGGAGACAAAGGGACATGGCCAACCTCTTTTCATCAGTCTGCAGGGACAGGACAAGGGAAAATGGCCATAAACTGGAGCATAGGAAGTTCCGCACCAATATGCAAAAGAACTTCTTAACGGTGAGGGTGACACAGCATTGGAACAGGCTGCCCAAAGAGGTTGTAGAGTTCTCCTTCTCTGGAGATATTCAAGACCCATCTGGACACATACCTATGCAACCCAGTCTAGGGAGCCTGCTTTGGCAAGGAGGTTGAACTTGATAATCTCTGGCATTCCCTTCCAACCCCTACAATTCTGTGATTCCATGATCTCTGAAAACTATCTTAAGTATCAGCAGGGAGACATAAGGAAAAGAG